CCGCCCCCCGCTGGTTCATCAGGGACGGGATCAGCCCTTCCTTCGAGGCTGGCTCTTATGAGCCACCTTATGTGATGCCTCTGCCAGCCTCTCTGGGACCAAGGTTGGCACGTTTTGTCCGGGGAGACCCACATGTAGCCAGAGCTGAGATGGCTGGGCTCAGCTCTGTGTCTTCGCAGTGCTTTGGGACTGGGACCCCCAAGCCACGTGCCAGCTCCTCCAAGCTCTGCAGCCCCTGAGGAGGAGGCCTGGGTGAGGCCATGTGAGGACAGCCTCCTGTCGCTGCCAGGAGCTGGTGTCTGAGGACTCTGCGCCACAGCTGGTGGCTTGTCTGCAACCATTCTCACCAAGATCCTGCAACTCCCAGCAGATGACCGGGGACAAACAAGGTGCTGCGGCCCACCGAGGAGACAGGCCAGCTTGTCAGTCATGCCTACACCCTTGAGGTATTGGGACTCTGCACATAAGGATGTATAGAACCCTAAACAGGGGATTGATCAGTGTTGATATTCTATCAAAATGAGACACCCAGAGGCAGAAGGGTGGTGGTGGGGGTGGGGTGGGGCTGAGCTCACTACCTCCATGAAAGAAGAGTCAGGAGAGGAACAGTCTTAGGAACTGGGGTCCCTGAGTTGAGAACCTCTGAGACCCAGGAGCAAAAGAGAGAGCATTAGTACCAGAAATGGCAAGAAATGGAGAGGTCACTGGAGATAAATGGTGGCATGCAGGGTGACAGAGCCAGGAGACTAGTCAGAGATGGGGCTTCCTCTGGGCAGCGGGCTTCCTGGTGGAGGGGAACGCTTCTAGGTACTTTTCAGTAGAGTGAAAAATGCCAGGCCATGGATCGGGAGACCTGAGCAACTTCAGAATGAAGCTACTGTAACATTTTCCTGAGCAGGGCAGAGGCTAGGCTGGCCAACAGAAAGGTCAGCCTGTGGTCATGGCCAAGAGGCTGTCCTGATTAAAGAACTGTATCTTGAGTGGTTCCTGATCTTGAATTGTAACCTGTCTCCTAATAAATCCATAACAACACGTTTGGTTTGTGAGCTCTGTGTGGCTTTATTTATACAAGAGCTCTGTGAGCTCTTGTAGTGGATTTATTGAGCCTAAGAGAGAAATAGGGGGTGCTGTGGGAGCAGGGGTGGATCACTCCATAAACCAGGTAAGCACAGGCTTACTTGTGCTTCCTTATTAATCTGTAGTGGCCGCTTTCAGGTGATTCTCACCCCATCCTGCATATGAGAGACTGCTCACTATAGACACCATGTGAAAGAAACGCTTGATTTCCTCACAACCCTCCTCTCCCACCGTGTGGGTGGCAGGCTGGCAGCCCTCTTTCCCCGCTACCCTCTGGCGTGTCCTTCTTTCAGGTAGCTGTTCTGCCCACCGCCTGGCTTAGCCCTTGTAACGGAGTGGGCCCCTTGCTGGTGAAGAGGACAGAGACTCTTCCCTCAAGGCCCCTTAACCTGTAAGGAGGAGCCAGCCCCCGGGACAGGAGCAGTTAATGGTCTACAGAGTCCAAAGCCCTGTTTGTGAAGGTGAGGGGCCATCCCTGAGAAAGAACAGGGCTGCCCTCTCACCCCTGCCCCAGGTAGGCTGCTCAGACCAGAGACCTGAAAATGCCCTCCCAGGGTGAGGGGCGGGGGGAGGCGGGGCTGGTATGCTCTCTCCCACAGGGGAGGGGACAGGGCTCTGCATCACCAGGGTGGCTGAGCTGCAGGAGGGCCCAGCAGCCTGGCCTAGAAGCTTGGCTTTTTATGTCAGAGGGCCCCCTCTAGAGTAAGCTGGGTCCAGGCTTTGCTTCGGGGGCTCAGGGAGCCCCTGGAATGGGGGTGGGATGAGCAGTCCAGTTGGAAGGCACTGGGCCAGGATGGTGTCCCCTGGGTACAGGGCTGCCCCTGATTTGACACCTGCTCTCCTCTTCCAGAGCCATGCCTTTGAGACAAGGCCGTCCTCTCACAGGCTCCCTGGCCCGCTCAGGTAGGTTTCCCATGCTGGGAGCAGCATTGTGGGGTGAGGCTGGGTCTCCCTGTGCATCTGTATCTATCACCCGGGACTGGTCCCAAAGGCCTGCTTTGCTCCCTCACTCCCTATGAGCCATCATTTGCCAAATTCCCAAATTTGCCCCTTTCTGGTCTCACCCTCCCTCCCACTATGTGAAAGAAAGCACAGTTTGGTGCTCCTTGGTGACGATGCAGAGGTGGGGGGCAGAGGGGGAGAAGGCACCCTTGGGGGCAGCAGAAGACCCCAGAACATAACTGGCTCTTATTCAGTTACAGCAAGAAGCCTGCCCCATTCCCTTACCTTCATGCTGCCCCACCAATCACAGAGATGGAAGCCTAAACCTGGTCCCTGAGGACCCTTCCCCACCTGCCAGGAGGCCCCCAGGCAGCAGCAGCAGGAGGAAGAGGGGTGGGGAGAGAGCAGGAGGAGGAGGAGGGGAGGGACGGGGCAGAGACAAGTGGGCCCTCACGTGAAGGGGGCTGGCGCAGGCAGCTACTACCTCCTCGGCTCTCGCTGTCCGCTGGCTTCACCTGGATGGGCCGGTTCATCTGCAACAGAGCAGAGGGGGCAGCGTTAGAGCTGGTCTGGGGGAGGGGAAGCAGGCACCCCACACCCATAAGAACACAAGTGCAAGCGCAGGCCACACTCACAGGCTCCCTGAAGCCCAGCCCTCCCCTCTAAGGTGCGATACCCACTGCCCCATTATGCCAGAGACCCCGCAGCACTTAGCACCTCCAGGACCTCCTGCTGGCCGGTCATATCAGAATCCCCGGCTGGTGGAAAGGAGTGTCCCCTGGCCCTCTGATGTAGCGAGGGCCTCATTGCCCACGGCCCACCCAGGGCCCCACCTGGCTTCGCTGGAGACAACCGCTCCAGGCCAGGGCTTGGGAGATATGGCGCGTGGACCCCAGGAGGTGGCTGAGGCTCTGTGGCTTTTGACTGCAGCCAAGGATGTCGCTTGGCATGGCGTGGAGCTGGGCACAACCACTGGCTCTCAGGGCCTGACTCCCTGTGCTGTGGGCCACAGGGCCCTGCAATTCCTCGTTCAGGCCACTAGGGGCCTCTGGACTGTGCATCAGGCCCTTCTTCCATCCCCGCCGCACCCCCCACGCAGCAGGGTGGGCTCTCCAGTCCGGAAGCCTCAAGACAATTCAAACAGTAAAGACGATAGGAATCGTTCCAAGGGATTCACACTTCCTATCTGTACTACCTGTCAGGCTTGTCCCTCACCGCTGATCTCTGAATTTCCCTCTCCAACACAAACCCTGAGACGTCAGCGTGGTTGGCACCCAAACCCCCCATTTTATAGATGGAGAAGCTGAGCCACAGAGGAGTCCATGCGCTTTCCAAGGCCAAATGGCGACAACCTGGGCCTCCGGGCTCCCAGGGCAGGTGCTTTCAGCCTCCAGGTAGCTGGCTCCACCAGGACTTGGCTCCCAATTCCCCTCAGGGCAGGGCCAGGCCAGTCAGTGACAAATGTCCCTAGGCCTCCTGGTTTGGGATTCAAAGTGAATTTGGGCTATGTTCAGACAACTGTATGGTGCGTGCCCATGACTCAGCCACGTGAAGGTGACCGACCCAGGGAAGTGCAGAGCCATGGCACCCAAGGACAGAGGCAGGAGGCAGGACACGGCTCACAAGAAAAGAGATGCAGGTGGAACAGACAGGACCACTGGGAGGCCAGCCCATGGGGGGGTGGGGGTGCAGGTGTCAAGAGAGACCATCTGCCAGGGGGCCATACTTGGCATCCCTTATGGGGCATCCCTTACGGGCCACACTTGGCAACCCAGGGGCAACTGTCCCTTCACAGAGACTCTGAAGATGGGGAGAGAATGGAAGGGTGGGGGCACTGTGAAGTGCCTGCTTCATTGAGCGGACCCTGGTTCTTCACAGACGACCTTTTATCCACGCCCCGAGGGAAAGGTCCAGAAGGCCTCTGGCCATGGGACTAATGGCAGAGGGGAGCCAGGCCATCCTGGATTTCCTGTGCAGTACAGACCCCTTTCTAGGCTGCCTCCCACCTGGAGCAATATCTCCTCACTCCAGACAGCGCAGGGCCCAGGAGTCTTCCAAATCTCCTGCCAGATTCTCCTGCTCCAGACAGGCCCAGGGCAGCCCTGGGCCCAACTCGGGCAATGGTACTCCCTTGGGTGGCGCATGTCTGCCTCTCCCGATGTCCAGGTGTGATTCCCAAGAAGTCATGAGAAGTGGCAGTGCTGGGAGCCAGCCAGGCTGGGGAGGGAGGCACCGGGCAGGAGGACCAGAGGACAGCAGGTTTGCCTTCGCCGATCTGGACTCATTTGAACTTGGTTGTCCGAAAGAACGGCGCAGGGAGCATGCACATGCGCGGGGAGCATGTCCATTCTGGCCAGGGGATGTCCGGGTCCGGCTCCAATGTCTCTGCCTGCCAGCGCCTGCCCTCCACTCTCCTCTTGACAGCGGTGTTCCATCAGCTTTTGAGGCGGGTCCATGAGGAGAGAGCCTTCAGGGACTTCTCCCTTGTCCGTTAGGCACCGCGGAGAGGCACAGCCCCGGCTGACTTCTGAGATGGGACACAGGGACACGGAGTACCCCACCCCTGGCCCCCAAAAGGCATCCTACACTCTTTAGGACACGAGCAGCTGCCATGGGCATTATATGGCTGGCTTGTCATCGCTTTCCCCCGTGTGATGAATGTGAATGGATTATTATCTTTATTTTCAGCCAAGAAAATGGAGTTTCAGAGGGTAAGAAACTAGCTCCCAATCACACAGGTGATAAATAGCCATGTCAAGGCTGCAACCCAGGCCTCTCAACACCTGCCTACATGTTCAGAGATGCTGAGAACCAAGAGGGATGGGTGGGCTGGTGTGTGTGTGGGGGGGGAATGGTCCCAGGAAGCCAGAGCAGGGCAGGAAGGGGTATGTGTGGGAGGAAGCAGCAGGGTAGTGGGGGATTCAGTCTTAGTGAACAGCGGGGAGCAAGCCTGGCTGTGTGGCATAAACTGAGGGACCAGTGTGGAGAGGAGGGAGGGAGCAGGGCCTTGGAGGAGATCTGGGGAGACCCCTCTCCCTTCCAGAAATGCTGGAGGGAAATGCAAGGACCACTGTCTCTGGTAATCTCTCTGGTAGCCCCAGGCCCCATAGCCTCTCTTTCTATTTAGGTCTGGGAGCAGTTTGGTGTGCCCAGGGACTGGCAGGGGCTGGGAATAGAGCTTTTTCTGATAGGATGAGCCCCATTTTCCAGGTGGGGAAATTAGAAGAAGGTAAATGAAGGTACCCTGAGCATGGGGCCTCAGGTGGTCAGCCACTGCCCCACGTCCTTGCCTGCTAGTACTTGTGACTCACTTAGACCCGATAAGCCCCCTCTGGCCATGCTGCCAGCCCTCAGCAGTATGCTCAGAGACCCCTGCACCATGGTGTGGGGAGGGGCTGCTCCTCACACAGGAGCCTCCAACTGCACTGAGCATCCTGATGACTGAGGTCTGGGGTCTTCCCCGGCCACCCATGTACTCTCAGCCACCCACAGGGTACCCCAGCTGGCAGGGCAGAACCCAGTTAAATTGGTTCTCCAGACCCAGGGCTACTGGGGCCATTGCTGATGTCCCACAGGCTCTCTGGTGGACAGCGGGCTGTCACTGAGGAGCCGGGCTCAGTGGAGAGGCAGGGTCAGCCTGTGCTTTCTCCATTCTCCGCAGAAAGGGAGTGTTGAGTTGGGAGAGTACAGTGAACCCTCGCCACTTCGCGCTTCGACTTCCGCGGCTTCACTCTATCGCGGTTTTTGCGTAACAGCACCCACTGCCTACACCCGCTCCTTCAGAGGAAAAAGACGGCGACCCACCTGTAGAGTACATCCCTTAAGTCATTTCATAGGCTATTGATTACAGTATTTGTAAGAACTATGTATAATAATACTGTATGTGAAATATGTAATACTGTAAACTAGATGCCATAAATAATATAATAAATAATAAATGATCATTGTAACATCCAAAATGTTTTACTGTATTTTCCCTTTTTCGTTTAATAAATTGGGTAATACGAGTGTAATGGTGACTAAAGGGTGTTTTTTCATGTCCTCTATGCTCTAACTACGAAAATATTTGATTTACAAATAAGGAATCCTACTTCGCGGAATTTCATTTATCACGGTAGGGTCTAGAACCGATTAACCGCGATAAATGAAGGTTCACTGTATATCAGCTGGAGCCAGTCTGCACGGGCCTGCTCCTGAGTGGCAGTCACCCTCCCTGGTGAAAGCATTTCCCTTTCTGTTCAGGGCCCTGGGCCCTGTCCAGCCTCACCAAGCTCTGGTTCTGCCTTGAAGACAGAGTGAAGCAGCCAGTCCCAGGCAGAGGAGACCATGGTGGGCCAGGGAGAAGGGCGAGGGAGGGAGAACAAGGAGGTCTGGAGGGTGAGGTCAGAGAGACTGGAGGAGGAGCCAGGGCGGAAAGAGGAGCCAAAAAAATTGAAAAGACATATAATTGTCAACACCGGCCCTTCTTTTTGAAGCACTCTGGTGGCTCAGTGAGTTAGGTGCTGGGCTGCTAAACTCAAGGCTGCTGGTTCAAACCCAGCTGCTGTGAACTAGGAATATGAGGCGGTCTGTTCCCATAAATATTTACAGTCTCAGAAACCTGGAGGAGCAGGTCTACTTCAACTTGATGGCAGTGGGGGGTGGAGCCGCCCCCCACTTTTTTCTTTCACTTTTTATCGCGCATCAACTGAAGGTTTACGGAGCACATGGTGCGTTTACATTCAACAGTGCATCCACATTTTGTTTCCACCGCCCCACTGCAAACCACTCCACATACCAGTGCTCATCACACCTCCTCACTGGGCCCTGTGGCCATTCCTCCTTCTTTCTTGACGCTTGGTGCCTGGTCCTTCCTTAAATGCTGCCCTTTGGATCTTAAATGGTTGATTATTCTTTTTCTTTTTTTTCCCCTGACACTTAAACATTTATTTTAAAGACAAGCTTGTTACTTAAAAGACACTATTATATGAAACTCAATGAGAATATACATCCTATCAAGAATTATTATTGACAAACATTATCCTATCTAAAAACCCAAAGCCAAGTAGATACTATTCAGGTAGAAAATATATTTGTTTTTTAAATAGTTGACTATTCTAACGTGGAGGTGAGTTCAGTTCCAGGCCTGATGTGGAAGGGCCACTGTCTGCATCTCTGTCCGACCAGTAATCTCTTCTATCATCTCTTTTAGGATCTCTGGATTCTGTTCCACATTTTTCTCCCACTCACTCGGGACCTTCTAATGCGATCCTTTCTAGAGCAGGAGGGGTGGTAGCTGGGACCCATCACCATCTAGTTCTTCTGGTCTCTGAGTGTGGAGCCTGAGATCCATCCGTCCATCGGACTCACTGTTCCCATGGGCCTGCTGTTTTTGGTCAATCTTTCCTCTGGATGGGGACAGACCAGTAGTGGTACCTGAGATTTTTTAAGGCCGCAGTCCCTACTCACCAAATTAGGATGTAGACCTTGCTTTGTGAACTAGGTTATGCCATTCGACCTTGGTGTCCCTGAGACTCTGGGTGGGTGACCTTCC